TATCTGATGACTTCTGCAGTGCAGGAAAGTTTTCATGAGGGCATGGACCAGCAGAGCTGTCCCTTTGCTGTCCCTTGCCACCCTGGCATGATTCATGTAAGCTGTTGTGCTGATAGAGTGGCCTGTAGGAGCAAGGCAGAGCAAACCTTGTGTCTAAAGGACTTGTCCTCTGTTGCTGTCTGCTTTGGCTCTCCAGCATGACTCACCTAGGTCCCAGAGGTAAGCCCTGGTCCCCAGAGAGAGAAGCCCTAGAAACAACCTTATCAGGGATGATACCTGGAGAGGAATTTACTACTGCTTTATTCAACACCAGGGCTGGTTTCCTGGAGCTTCTTTACCAGAAAGGCAATACAAAGCTGTAACCTTCTTACCGAATCCTCTGACATTTGGTGCAGGTCAGCTTGTGCCTGTCATCTCAGTCAGTTGTATCTGCACTTGTTGCTGGTCTCCCTTCTCACTGCTGCACCTGACTTGCTCCAGCTGGGTAAATGAGTGTCTGTTGCCAGTGTCAGTTTTATCTGAGCAGCTTGACTGTGAGGACTGATGCCCCTTTAAAGGGCAGCAAGTGTTTCTCCTCATTGCACCACTGTTCTATGCATTTTGTAGTTATGGTTTCTCTATTTGACTGTGGACCTTTTCATTGCTTTTCCCTTTCTTTCCAGACTATAGAGTAATTTTCAGAAGCATCCTTGTGTTTAGATAAAAGTGCACCATATCTATGCTATGTTGTGTATGTACTGTGACTGCAGAGGTTAGGATCATGACTTCTGAGTGAGTTTTTAGTGTATTTAATTCCTTTGGCCTAGGTAATAGGAAACAAAGAAAAGATTTGCTGAAAAAAATTCTTACAAACATCCATGGGATAAAATAGATTTGCAGGGTGGCTGAGGGATCTCTCAGTATGGAAAACTGCAACTTTGAATTTCTTGATTTGCAGACTTAAATCCTACCTTTCAATATATGCTGATGTTTGTAACAATGCTTAGCGTGTTCTTGTGGGCCCCGGAATAAACAGGGGAAGTCTAGTCCCTTAGCATCTCAAGACTGTCGTAATTCCTTCTTGGAGATATTTACTCCCTCTGCTTTGCTCTTGCAAGGAGCTGTTTGCGGTCGCTCCCCCGCAGGTGCCCGTCGTGCACCCACTGCATCTTTTTTAGCCATCTGTTGCCATCTGGTGGCAGCAGAGCTGAGCTGCCAGACTCCTGCGAGGCTTCCAGGGGGAAATCTGTGCCATGCTGTCTATAACGAGGAGCAATCTGGTAACAGACACATGGCAAATTTGCAAATTACTTGTCTAGCCATCTGCCTTCTCTTATCCAATGCTGCCATAATCTGCTGGCACCAGCAACACCATTTTTCCAGTGGCATTGGAAACCTTGTGACAAAAAAAAAACCAAACCAAAACAAAAAAAAACCCTTACACTTATTATTTTTTCAGCTTTTTGTGCCCTTACTTTCCCCGATGCAATATCTACATTTTATCCTTTTTATTTTTGCTTCCTCTATGCAAGCTTTGCAGTCTTTGCAGCCACTGGAGCCTCCTGCTCTTTTTTGTTGGATGTTGTATTTTTGCATACTATTCTGTGACAAAGATTTTGGTGAAAATCTTGTATTCTTCACTCTGTCAAAAGCATTAGGTATTCTGCTTACTTGTAATGTGGCTGTATGATATCACTCTGCCAAAATAACTTATCTGCTATAGTATTTGTTCATGGCTGGCTTCCTTCAGGCTGGAGTGGCCAGAAGCCTTCTCAGCACTTGTTGCTGGTACAAGAATGAAAGCAGAAATGCCCTAAATTTGTCCAGCAGTGAGTTCTGCTTCTGTCCAGTTGCTACGGGTGAGACCTGGTCTGCCAGGTTAGCATAGTGGGAAGTGGGTTTGTCTCAGGCCTGGGGGGTGCCTCAAAAACCAACCCAGAAAGCTTGGAGTTGAGATAGATATGAAAAGGGAATTTCTGTGTAGGTATCAAGTGTTTGTCAAAAAATATCGATGCTCTGAAGGTTAAAAAAAAAACAAAAAACAACAAACAAGAAAGCCAAACAACCTTCATAAGAGTGCATCAATTTAGGTCATTCAGGATAGCTTGTCTCCCCTCTGTGCTTTTTCAACTTGGTCATGACTGGTGATGTTCCCCTGTCAACAACAGGCAATGTTCACTTCTCTGTCCATATTTAACTGCAGGAGTTTGAGTTGCCTTGATTTTCTGGGGGAGGGAAATAGTCTTGTGTGTCCACCAGCAAGCCTTGCAGCCAGCCTGTCACTCCCCAAAGGCTTTCTCCAAATACCTGCTCTGGCCTCTTCCAGTGTGAGCTCTGACTTCCAGCCCATGAGGGGTAGCTGCTTTCAGGCTGAGAAGCTGTTCACAGGTCAGCCCAGCCGCAAGAGAATTAACCCATGCAAAGGCTGCAGACTTTCTGGGGCTCCTACAGATTCTGCATCCTGCCCATTCCAAGGACTTCCAACCAGACCTTTTTTTTGGGGGGGGAGGGAACAGAAACTTATGTTACCCCAGAGCCATAATTTGCCAGAGACCATGGTAATGTTCTCCTCCATCTGTTTTGGAGCAAACCTGCTAGCCCTGCCTTGGATGGGCAGGGATGCTTTTAGAGACCCCGAGAGGATCTGGAGGGCCAGCGTCAGCAATCCTG